CTGTTCTCAGGCATGGTCTAGTGGACTAGGATACCTGGCCTCTCACGCAGGAAAAAGGCACCGGGTTGCGATTCCCGGTGTCGGAAAGTATTTATTTAGCTAGCTATCATCAAGTCTCCGAATTGCGCAACGCTATGTACGTAAATATGTTTACAAACTGTCGGTCCGAAATGGACTAAGGCGAGCGCTATCTCTCCCTCCTCTGCTTCTCCTGCACGGTCTAGTAGCTAGATATGCCTGGCTCTCACCCAGGAGGACCGGGTTGCGATTCCCGGTGTCGGAAGTATTTTCTTTATCTGCGATCATCAAGTATGCCAATTCTGCAGCTACGCTAATGTAACTTACAATACATTTACACTGTTGGCCGAATCGGCTCAGGGCGATCGCGTCCGTCCCTCTCTGTTCTCCCAGCGGGCTAGTGGGATAGTATACCTACTCTCAACCCAGGAGGGCCCGGGTTCGATTCCGGTGTCGGAAGTATTTTCTTTTATCTGCTGTCATCGAGTCTCCAATTTGCGCACGGTATGTCTCTTCAATACGTTTACCCTGTTGGCCGAATCGCTAAGCGATCGCTCCATCCCTCTCTGTTCTCCAGCATGGTCTAGTGGCTAGCATACCTGGCTCTCACCCAGGAGGCCCGGGTACGATTCCCGGTGTCGAACGTTTTTTGTTTTATCTGCTATCTTTAAGTCTCCTCTTTGCGCACGCAATGTAACTTCAATACTTTTACCTTGTTGGTCGAATGACTGAGCGAACGCTCCACCCTCTCCGGCATGGCCAAGTGGCTCGGATACCTGGCTCTCACCCAGGAGGCCCGGGTACGATTCCCGGTGTCGGAAGTGTTTTCTTTTATCTGCTATCATCAAGTCTGCAATATGTGCACGCTATGTAACTTCAATATTTTATCCTGTTGGCCGAATCACTAAGCGATCGCTCCGTCCCTCTCCATTCTCCAGCCTGGTCTAGAGGCTAGGATACCTAGCTCTCACCCAGGAGACCCGGGTTTGATTCCCGGTGTCGTAAGTATTTTCTTTTATCAGCTATCATCAAGTCTCCAATTTGCGCACGCTACGTAACTTCAATAATTTTACCCTGTTGGCCGAATCGCTAAGCGATCACTCCTTCCCTCTCTGCTCTCCTGCATGGTCCAGTGGCTATGATACCTGGCTCTCACCCAGGAGGCCCGTGTTCGATTCCCGGTGTCGGAAGTATTTTCTTTTATCTGCTCTCATCAAGTCTCCAATTCGCGCACGCTATATACCTTCAATACTTTTAACGTGTTGACCGAATGGCTAAGCGATCGCTCCGTCCCTCTCTGTTCTCCGGCATGGTCTAGTGGCTAGGATACTTGTCTCTCATCCAGGAGGCCCAGGTTCGATTCCCGGTGTCGGAAGTATTTTCTTTTATCTGCTGTCATCAAGTCTCCAATTTGCGCGCGCTATAGAACTTCATACTTTTACCCTGTTGGCCGAATGCGCTAAGCGATCGCTCCTGTCCCTCTCCGTTCTCCAGCATGGTCTAGTGGCTAGATACCTGCTCTCACCCAGGAGGCCCGGGTTCGATTCCCGGTGTCGGAAGTATTTTCTTTATCTGCTATCATCAAGTCTCAATTTGCGCACGCTAGTAACTTCAATACTTTTACCTTGTTGGCCGAATGGCTAAGCGATCGCTCCTTCCCTCTCTGTTCTCCGCATGGTCTAGTGGCTAGGATACCTGCTCTCACCCAGGAGGCCCTGGTGCGATTCCGGTGATCGGAAGTATTTTCTTTATCTGACTATCATCAAGTCTCCAATTTGCGCACGCTATGTAACTTCAATACTTTTACACTGTTGGCCGAATGGCTAAGGCGATCGCTCCTGTCCCTCTCTTTCTCCGGCATGGTCTAGTGGCTAGGATACCTGGCTCTCACCCAGGAGGCCCGGGTTTGATTCCCGGTGTCGGAAGTATTTTCTTATCTGCTATCATCAAGTCTCCAATTTGCGCACGCTATATACTTCAATACTTTTACGTTGTTGGCCGAATGACTAAGCGTTCGCTCCGTCCCTCTCCGTTCTCCAGCATGATCTAGTGGCTAAGCTACCTGGCTCTCACCCAGGAGGCCCGGGTACGATTCCCCGTGTCGGAAGTATTTTTTTATCTGCTATCATCAAGTCTCCTATTTGCGCACGCTATGTAACTTCAATAGTTTTACCCTGTTGGCCGAATGGCTAAGCGTTCGCCCTGTCCCTCTCCCTTCTCGGCGTGGTCTAGTGGCTAGGATATCTGGCTCTCACCCAAGAGGCCCGGGTACGATTCCCGGTGTCGGAAGTATTTTCTTTTATCTGCTATCATCAAGTCTCCAATTTGCGCACGCAATGTAACTTCAATACTTTTACCCTGTTGGCCGAATCGCTAAGCGATCGCTCCATCCCTCTCTGTTCTCCAGCATGGTCTAGTGGCTAGCATACCTGGCTCTCACCCAGGAGGCCCGGGTACGATTCCCGGTGTCGGAAGTATTTTTTTTTATCTGCTATCATCAAGTCTCCAATTGCGCACGCTAATGTAACTTCAATACTTTTAACCCTGTTGGCCGAATAGCTAAGCGATCGCTCCGGTCCCTCTCTGTTCTCCGACATGGTCTAGTGGCTAGGATACATGGCTCTCACCCAGGAGGCCGGGTTCGATTCCCGGTGTTCGAAAGTATTTCTTTTATCTGCTGATCATCAAGTCTCCAATTTGCGCACTCTATATAACTTCAATACTTTTACCGTGTTGGCCGAATGGCTAAGCGATCGCTCCGTCCCTCTCCGTTCTCCGGCATGGTCTAGTGGCTAGGATACCTGGCTCTCACCCAGGAGGGCCCGAGGTTCGATTCCCGGTGGTCGGAAGTATTTCTTTTATCTGCTGTCATCAAGTCTCCAATTTGCGCACGCTATATAACTTCAATACTTTTACCCTGTTGGCCGAATGGCTAAGCGATGGCTCCGTCCCCCTCTGTTCTCCGGCATGGTCTAGTGGCTAGGATACCTGGCTCTCACCCAGGAGGCCCGGGTGCGTTTCCCGGCGTCGGAAGTATTTTCTTTTATTTACTATCATCAAGTCTCCGATTTGCGCATGTTATGCAACTTAAATATTTTTACACTGTTGGCAGAATGGCTAAGGGATCGCTCCCTCCCTCTCTGTTCGCCGGCACGGTCTAGTAGCTAGGATACCTAGCTCTCACCCAGGAGACCCGAGTTTGTTTCCCGGTGTTGGAAGTATTTTCTTTTATCTACTATCATCAAGTCTCCGATTTGCGCACGCTATGTAACTTCAATACTTTTACCCTGTTGGCCGAATGGCTAAGCGATCGCTCAGTCCCTCTACGTTCTCCGGCATGGTCTAGTGGCTAGGATACCTGGCTCTCACCCAGGAGGCCCGGGTGCGATTCCCGGCGTCGGAAGTATTTTCTTTTATCTGCTATCATCAAGTCTCCAATTTGCGCATGTTATATAACTTCAATAATTTACCTTGTTGGCCGAATGACTAAGCGGTCGCTCCACCCCTCTGCGGCATGGTCTAGTGGCTAGGATACTGGCTCTCACCCAGGAGGCCTGGGTTCGATCCCGGTGTCGGAAGTATTTTCTTTTATCTGCTATCATCAAGTCTCCATTCTCGCACGCAATGTAACTTTAATACTTTTACCCTGTTGGCCGAATCGCTAAGCGATCACTCCGTCCCTCTCTGTTCTCCAGCATGGTCTAGTGGCTAGGATACTGGCTCTCAGCCAGGAGGCCCGGGTACGATTCCCGGTGTCGGAAGTGTTTTCTTTTATCTGCTATCATCAAGTCTGCAAATTGTGCACGCTATGTAACTTCATTACTTTTACCCTGTTGGCCGAATCACTAAGCGATCGCTCCGTCCCTCTCCGTTCTCCGGCATGGTCTAGTGGCTAGGATACCTGGCTCTCACAGGAGGCCCGGGTGCTATTCCCGGCGTCGTAAGTATTTTCTTTTATCTGCTATCATCAAGTCTTCAATTTGCGCACGCTATATACCTTCAATACCTTTTACCCTGATGGTGCCGAATGTACTAGCGATCGCCATTCCGTTCACTTCTCCCGTTCTCCAGCATGGTCTAGTGGCTAAGGATATCCTGGCTTCTCACCCAGGAGGCCCGGGTTGGATTCCCCTGTGTCGGAAGTATTGTTTTATCTGCTATCATCAAGGTCTTCCTATTGGCGCACGCTAATGCTAACTGCAATACGTTTACTCATTGTGAGCCGAATGACGAGTAAGCGATCGCCCTGTCCACTCTCCTTCTCGGCGTGGTCTAGTGGCATGGATTAGCCTGGCTACTCACCCAGGAGGCCCCGGGTGTACAGATTCCCGGTGTCGGAAGTATTTTCTTTTATCTGCTATCATCAAGTCTCCATTTGCGCACGCAATGAACTTCAATACTTTTACCCTGTTGGCCGAATCGCTAAGCGATCGCTCCATTCCCTCTCTGTTCTCCAGCATGGTCTAGTGGCTAGCATACCTGGCTCTCACCCAGGAGGCCCGGGTACGATTCCCGGTGTCGAACGTTTTTTGTTTTATCTGCTATCTTTAAGTCTCCTCTTTGCGCACGCAATGTAACTTCAATACTTTTACCTTGTTGGCCGAATGACTGAGTGAACGCTCCACTCTCTCCGGCATGGCCAAGTGGCTCGGATACCTGGCTCTCACCCAGGAGGCCCGGGTTCGATTCCCGGTGTCGGAAGTATTTTCTTTTATCTGCTGTCATCGAGTCTCCAATTTGCGCACGGTATGTCTCTTCAATACGTTTACCCTGTTGGCCGAATGGCTAAGCGATCGCTCCGTCCCTCTTCGTTCTCCGGCATGGTCTAGTGTCTAGGATCTAGGATACCTGGCTCTCACCCAGGAGGCAAGGGTACGATTCCCGGTGTCGGAAGTATTTTCTTTTATCTGCTATCATCAAGTCTCCAATTTGCGCACGCAATGTAACTTCAATACTTTTACCCTGTTGGCCGAATCGCTAAGCGATCGCTCCATCCCTCTCTGTTCTCCAGCATGGTCTAGTGGCTAGCATACCTGGCTCTCACCAGGAGGCCCGGGTACGATTCCCGGTGTCGAACGTTTTTTGTTTTATCTGCTATCTTTAAGTCTCCTCTTTGCGCACGCAATGTAACTTCAATACTTTTACCTTGTTGGCCGAATGACTGAGCGAACGCTCCACCCTCTCCGGCATGGCCAAGTGGCTCGGATACCTGGCTCTCACCCAGGAGGCCCGGGTACGATTCCCGGTGTCGGAAGTGTTTTCTTTTATGCTATCATCAAGTCTGCAATATGTGCACGCTATGTAATTCAATATTTTATCCTGTTGGCCGAATCACTAAGCGATCGCTCCGTCCCTCTCCATTCTCCAGCCTGGTCTAGAGGCTAGGATACCTAGCTCTCACCCAGGAGACCCGGGTTTGATTCCCGGTGTCGTAAGTATTTTCTTTTATCAGCTATCATCAAGTCTCCAATTTGCGCACGCTACGTAACTTCAATAATTTTACCCTGTTGGCCGAATCGCTAAGCGATCACTCCTTCCCTCTCTGCTCTCCTGCATGGTCTAGTGGCTATGATACCTGGCTCTCACCCAGGAGGCCCGTGTTCGATTCCCGGTGTCGGAAGTATTTTCTTTTATCTGCTCTCATCAAGTCTCCAATTCGCGCACGCTATATACCTTCAATACTTTTAACGTGTTGACCGAATGGCTAAGCGATCGCTCCGTCCCTCTCTGTTCTCCGGCATGGTCTAGTGGCTAGGATACTTGTCTCTCATCCAGGAGGCCCAGGTTCGATTCCCGGTGTCGGAAATATTTTCTTTTATCTGCTGTCATCAAGTCTCCAATTTGCGTGCGCTATAGAACTTCAATACTTTTACCCTGTTGGCCGAATGGCTAAGCGATCGCTCCGTCCTTCTCTCTTCTCCGGCATGGTCTAGTGGCTAGGATACCTGGCTCTCACCCAGGAGGCCCGGGTGCGATTCCCGGTGTCGGAAGTATTTTCTTTTAATCTGCTATCATCAAGTCTCCAATTTGCGTATGTTATATAACTTCAATACTTTTACCTTGTTGGCCGAATGACTAAGCGGTCGCTCCACCCCTCTGCGGCATGGTCTAGTGGCTAGGATACCTGGCTCTCACCCAGGAGGCCTGGGTTCGATTCCCGGTGTCGGAAGTATTTTCTTTTATCTGCTATCATCAAGTCTCCAATTCTCGCACGCAATGTAACTTTAATACTTTTACCCTGTTGGCCGAATCGCTAAGCGATCACTCCGTCCCTCTCTGTTCTCCAGCATGGTCTAGTGTCTAGGATACCTGGCTCTCAGCCAGGAGGCCCGGGTACGATTCCCGGTGTCGGAAGTGTTTTCTTTTATCTGCTATCATCAAGTCTGCAAATTGTGCACGCTATGTAACTTCATTACTTTTACCCTGTTGGCCGAATCACTAAGCGATCGCTCCATCCCTCTCTTATCTCCGGCATGGTCTAGTGGCTAGGATACCTGGCTCTCACCCAGGAGGCCGGGTGCTATTCCCGGCGTCGTAAGTATTTTCTTTTATCTGCTATCATCAAGTCTCCAATTTGCGCACGCTATATACCTTCAATACTTTTACCTTGTTGGCCGAATGACTAAGCGTTCGCTCCGTCCCTCTCCGTTCTCCAGCATGGTCTAGTGGCTAAGCTACCTGGCTCTCACCCAGGAGGCCCGGGTGCGATTCCCCGTGTCGGAAGTATTTTTTTATCTGCTATACTCAAGTCTCCTATTCGCAGCACGCTATGTAACTTCAATAGTTTTACCCTGTTGGCCGAATGGCTAAGCGATTCGCCCTGTCCCTCTCCCTTCTCGCGTGGTCTAGTGGCTAGGATATCTGGCTCTCACCCAGGCGGCCCGGGTACGATTCCCGGTGTCGGAGTATTTTCTTTTTATATCTGGCGTATCAACCAAATGTCTCACATTTGCGCACGCTATATACCTTCCAATACTTTTACCCTTTGGCCGAATCGCAAGCGGTAAAAAACATCGCTCCATCCCTCTGCTGTTCTCCAGCTGGTCTAGTTGTCTAGCATACCTGGCTCTCACCCAGGAGGCCCGGGTCGATTCCCGGTGTCGGAAAGTATTTTCTTTTATCTGCTATCATCAAGTCTCCAATTTGCGCACGCTATGTAACTTCAATACTTTTACCCTGTTGGCCGAATGGCTAAGCGATTGCTCCATTCCCTCTCCGTTCTCTGGCGTGGTCTAGTGGCTAGGATACCTGGCTCTCACCCAGAAGGGCCGGGTTCGATTTCCGGTGTCGGAAGTATTTTTTTATCTGCTATATTCAAGTCTCCAATTTGCGCACGCTATGTAACTTCAATACTTTTACCCTGTTGGCCGAATGGCTAAGCGATCGCTCCTTCCCTCTCTGTTCTCCTGCATGGTCTAGTGGCTAGGATACCTGGCTCTCACCCAGGAGGCCCGGGTGCGATTCCCGGTGTCGGAAGTATTTTCTTTATCTGCTATCATCAAGTCTCCAATTTGCGCACGCTATGTAACTTCAATACTTTACCTGTTGGCCGAATGGCTAAGCGATCGCTCCGTCCCTCTCTGTTCTCCGGCATGGTCTAGTGTCTAGGATACCTGGCTCTCAGCCAGGAGGCCCGGGTACGATTCCCGGTGTCGGAAGTGTTTTCTTTTATCTGCTATCATCAAGTCTGCAAATTGTGCACGCTATGTAACTTCATTACTTTTACCCTGTTGGCCGAATCACTAAGCGATCGCTCCATCCCTCTCTTATCTCCGGCATGGTCTAGTGGCTAGGATACCTGGCTCTCACCCAGGAGGCCCGGGTGCTATTCCCGGCGTCGTAAGTATTT